TCTGAACATTTCTTTGCGACTCTTCGATTTTACAATCTTCAGTTGTTTGGATCCTTCGATTGCTATTTTTTCAATTTTTAATGTTTTCGACTTTTCATTTATGGGATTTTTCGAGGTTTCGATTCTACTTTTTTTTATCCTTCAAATTCTTCATTTTCCCATTTTTAGATTTTGCAGGTTAACAACTTTGTAAGTGATTCATCGACCATGCGATTTTCCAGTCCCTCGATTTTTTCGTATTTCGATTTTTTGATTCTTAGTTTTTCAGTTTTCAGCTTCTATTTTTCGACTTTAAAGTTTCAGTTTTTTCATTCATTTGTAGACTTTCGACATTTTAATGTTAGAATTTTGTAATTTTTTATTTTTATCATTTTTTCGATTCTTCAATTTAAAATTTTTCGATGCTTCAACTTTTCAAATCTTCAATTTTTTGTTTTATATTACGTTCTTCCGGTTTTTCTATTTTTAGATGTTTCGGTTATAGTTTTTCTATTTTGCAATTTTTGTTTCTTCAAAGCTCGATTTTTCAGTTTCACAATTCTTAGTTTTTCAGTTTTTCTGTTTTTCGATTTGAGATTTCCGATCTTTTAATTGCAGAATTTTGCAATTTTTGGATCGTTTATGGCAGTTTATGTTATTTAATTGAATATATCGTTTTTCTGATTTTTCATGTCCAAATTTTTTTATTCTTCAACTGTTGATCTCATCAATTTTATTTTATTTTTTTTTTCAATTTGTTGATTCCTAACTTTCTTTACAACTCTCCGATTTTACAATCTTCCGGTTTTTCTATTTTTTAATTTTTCATTGTGGGATTTTTCGATGTTTGGGTTTTACAATTTTTCTATTTTCTAACTTTTGGTTCCTCAGAATTTTGATTTTTCAATTTTTCGATTTGAGATTTTCGATCTTTTAATTTTAGGATTTTGTAATTTTTCGATCGTTCAACTTTGCGACTTATAGGCATTTTAATATTTCGTTTTTTGGATTTTTTAATTTCAAATTGTCGATTCTGTAACTTTTAAATTTCTGCAGTTCCAATTTAAAATTTTTTGATTTTATGATTTCTGACTATTGATTTTTTAATTTTTCTGGTTCTAACTTCTTTACAACTCTCCGATTTTACGATCATCCATATTTTCCATATACATATTCTATAATTTTTCGTTTTTCCCAATTTTCGATTTAGCAATTTTTGATTCTTCAAATTCTCCATTTTTCCATTTTTAGATTTTTTAGGTTTTAATTTTAGAATTTTGCAATTTTTCGACTTTTTTCTTTCGTTTTTTCGATTTTTCAATTTCAAATTTTTCGATTCCTCAACTTTTGAATTCTTTTTCAATTTTTAAGTTATTCGATTTTTCATTTGTGGGATACTTCGAAGTTTCGATTTTACAATTTTTCGTTTTTTCCATTTCTTCAACTTTGCAATTTTTGATGTTTCAAATTCTTGATTTTTCCATTTCTAGGTTTTTCAGTTTTACAATTTTGTTTGTTCGATTCCTCGACCATACGATTTTTCAATAGATCGATTTTTTCGATTGACGATTTTTCAATTTTCAGTTTTTTTACTTTTTTCACAATTTCTAATTTAAAAATTTTTCTATTTTGCAATCTTTCGATTTTTAGATTTTAGATCATTTAATTTTACAATTTGGCAATTTTTTGATTTTAGACTTTAGTTTCTTCAATTTAAATTACAAATTTTTGGATTCAATTCTGAATTTCTGCAATTTTTCAATTTTAATTTTTTTTTTTTTAAGATTATCCAACTTCTTTCAATTTTTTGACTTCTAACTTTCTTTACAACTCTCCGATTTTACAATCTTTAGTTTTATCTATTTTTCGTTTCTTCAACTTTTCGAGTTCTAACTTTTTTACAACTCTTGTACAATTTTTCGTTCTTTCCAATGTTCGATTTAGCAATTTTTGATTTTTCAAATTCCCCCTTTTTCCATTTTTAGATTTTTCAGGTTTTAATTCTAGAATTTTGCAATTTTCCGATTATAAAATTTCGTTGTTTAGATTTTTCAATTTCAAATTTTTCGATTTCAACATTTGAACTTTTTACTTTTTGAACATTTAACTTTCTTTAGAAATTTTCAGTTTTAATTTTTTTTGTGGAATTTTTCAATGTTCCGATTCTTTTAGCCTTTTCCATTTCTCAATTTTGCAATTTTTAATTTTTCCGAGTCTCGATTTTTTCAGTTCTAGATTTTTTAGTTTTATAATTTTGTAACTTCTTCGATTCTTCCACCATGCAATTTTCCAATCTCTGGATTTTTTCGTATATCGATTTTTCTCAATTTTTCGATTTTCGTTCTTTTAGAATTTTGAAATTTTTCGATCGTTCAGCTTTGCCGTTTTGAGTATTTTAATCTTTCGTATTTTCGATTTTTCAATTTCAAATTTTGCGATTCTCCAACTTCTGAATTTTTCAAATTTTTAGATTTTTCGATTTTTCATCCTTTGAACTTTTCTATTTTTCGATTTCTCACTTTCCCAGTTTTTTTTAATGAATTCTACAATCTTTCGTTTTTTCTATCTTTCGAATTTGCAATTTTTGATTCTCCAAATTCTCGGATTTTTCAATTTTTCAAATTGTGGTGTCAAAGATCTGACACCAATCTTTTTATGAGTTTCTGAGATTCTTTGTCTAATAAAAATTGACACAGACAGCCGACAGACGGCAGACAGACAGACGGAAACGGAGGGACTTATTTTTTCTCTCTCTCAAGGTAATGAAACGTAGAAAAATTTAAAGTAGCCGTTCATCAGATGGATCTTATTCCCAATTTGAAGGAAAACTATTTTCCTTGCAACATTTTTGAAAATCAAAAACTTTTGAAAGAAATAAATCAGAAATATTTAAAAAGACAACATATTAGAACACAACTTGAAAATTAAATTGGTTAAAACTTGACATCGACAATATTAATTTTCCCGATAACGAAAGATAAAAGGTTAGGTTAAGAGATAATAATAATTAAATATAATCACAACTAAAATATTTATGTTGAATAAATAAAAAATTTATACAAATATGCAGGACCCACTTAAAAAAGAACCACACAAAACATATCAGGGGTGATCAAAAAGTTTCTTGATTAGGGTAGGCTACGGAAATATTTTTCATGTCTAGTCTGACTACAGTATATAAAAAAATAAGAAAACATTATTAATAACAATATAAAAATAAAATTAAAACCGACGAACACCAAGTTCGCACAGAATAAATTATTATATAAAAAAGTGTTAAACTTTCCATTTACGAGACCTCCATATATGCATGTGTACCGTACATTCACGATATCGATTAAATGACGCAATTTTGGGTCACATAAAGTTCATTGACAGCTCAAAATTGTTTCTGAAAATAGTATTTGCTCAATGCCGTTTAGCTATTATTTACACTCGTCGACAACAATTCCTTTATCTATTTCAATTACACTGGTACTTGTGATGAAACGAAACTCAATATTGACTGCAGTGTTTCTTACAAAGTTACGAGATAAATATTGAAAACTTTCTTTACTTTTCGATAAATTTGTTTAAATGAACGTACGTTAAACTTTGATGGATGGACATGAATTCATTAAAATATTAAGTAATATGATAATAACTATACTAAAAATAAACGCGGCACCACGACTACTATAAAAATAAAATAGTAGTAATAATAACGATAAGAGAGATAAATCTGCTAATAAAATATTTTTAAATGTGGAAGATAAATTTCAACAAAGGAGGTTTGCTAAAATAATCACAGGTATTATAAATTCATTGTACGAGTTGATTTATCTCCTTGTAAATGCACGGATAGTCATCATGAATCAAATTAGAAATCCTCATTTCCGTGTAATTATCTTTTATTATTATAATGCATAATTACATAATTTTAAATAAGCTTGTTCAAAAAAAATTAATAATGATGGCCTGTCAGTGAGTAAAAGTAAGGTTAAGTCTTGTCGAACTTTCATTGACGCGGCTACAGGTTGCACTGTACTTTACCAAACAATAAAGTTTGATAAAGATTAAAAGCCCATTTTGCTCACAACCTGAGTGCATATCGATCGCTTTTCGCCACAGTTCAACTTTGATAGACAGGGTAGAAAAAACAAGTTCGAAAAACATCGCTTGACGTACTTTGTATTAATAATGAAAGCTATTATTCCATAAATTGAACATAAAGGAGCTCTACGTCGGCGTAATTAGCATACATTTGACAACACTTCATTTCGCGCGTTTTGCTTAATCATACCATGCTGTCTCAACGCAACCATTTCAACTTGTCACCCCTAATTACCCGTGGCGCCAGCTGACTGACTCAAAGCACTAAAACTACATTTGTTTTCGGCGAATCCGTCTCTGCACTTGGGTAGGGCGCCTATTCGAGCGAACAATAGCCGCCCGTGAAATCCCAGCCCATCCTGTCATCCCACAGCCCTCAAAATTTTCTCCTTTAATGGCACAGGTGCGAACTTCCCGCGGTTCTTCCACTTTCGCCAGCTCGCGGTCATGTTTTCACGCACCGCAGTTACATAACATGATAACAATAATTTGAACCCACTGCCCAAGGCGAAAACCATTTGCTTTTCGAAACGGTCGCAGCTGATTTGAGCGAGGTCTGTGGGGGCCGGGTTTCGGGAAGGTTCATTTATTTAATTACCCTTATCGGTGGAACACACCCTCACGTCTGCATGCGTTCCGCTATAATGAAAACGAATGAAAAATGGGCACGTTTTTGAAGCGAAATCGCGGGTTTTCCGAGAAGTGTGGGTATCGATCAGTGGGGAGACGGAGACTGTCTAGGTGAGGGTGACTCGCACGACACTGTCTACGATGTCACGATTACAATCCTTCAGGGTTAATAATGGAGAAATAATAATCGTGATAATGATGGCAGAAGCGATAAGAATGACTAAAAAAAATTTTTTTTGAGCGATGAGAGTGACTATGATTTCGTTGTTATATTTAGGTGAGGGTGGTTTTTGACTTACCACGGTGTCGTCCAAGATTTCGCGTTTCCTAATCCTTTCGATTTTGGAGATCGTGGAACTGAACATGCACAGCACGAGAAAGCACACACTGAAGGTCCTCCAGGAGAAGACCCTTTGTAGAACGGCACAGCACCCACACATTTCGGAAATGTATTAGAGACACTACGTGTAAGAGTCCGACCGGTATTATGTGAAAGTAAACATTTCGCGGATTTATATGATGAATGAAGTTAGGAAATACGGCAACCACAAAAACGTAAGTTCTTCAGATAAATCGAAATTCGGAAATCCCCGGTGGTATCCATTTTGCCGCCTTTTCTCAAAATTTCGAACGTCGCTAGAATCTTTTCCTTTTCGTTTTGTGTTGTTTCTACTTTTCGTGTAGCGTCTCCGAGATGTTTTATTTCTGTCAGAACGGCGAAAATAGACCGCAGGGGACCCGGAGTGCAAGCAACCAACACGAACAGTGGACTACACTAGAATGGGAGAGAGTTGTTAGTGCTGAAACGCGTATACAACTACTGCTCACCGCCTGTACAGAAAAACGCTCATTTCGGTCTTTATTTTTTGTTCTCGGCGACGACGACGACCCGGAGTCAACAAATATGAAGAATTTGCGAATTGGAGTAATTGTCGGCGTGACGACCGGATTATTCTATTAACGGAACGAAGGCAAATCGTTGCAACAAAGAAAGCGATAAAACAAAGAACCGCTGATAATTCTTTGGCTTTTGATTACCGCGCTTCCTGACAGTTCGCCGCTTGCTGAACGGAACGGCGCCCCTCGTAAATAACGGGATTATAGTAAAAGCCGGATTTTTGGGCCGAGGGCGCTCTCGACCCAACAACTTCCCCGAGATGTACAAAACATATATACTTCTTTGTTTTTGTTATGTGTTTGAACCACCGCCTCACAATTTGCATAATTCGGTAAACACAAGCTTAACCCATACTCAAACATTCTATTATTAATGTGCCCAAGTAATTATTGTTAATCTCGGTAAACACTGAATATACACAACACGTACTCCTAGTGCGCATAATTGCAAATTGTAGCATTAGGGATAAATGGAAATACTTACACAGAAATATAGTTCATAGCTCAGAAACACTAACCTATTTGTCCGTTCCAAAGTTTTGCACGAACGGTAATTAGTTCTACTTTTTTATTGTCAATGCATTGTGTACTTTAATTGTGGTAACCTATGATTGGCGATTGTGTAAGTGGTATTGTTATTTTAAAAATTGTTTACATAGGTACATACAATTATGTCGCAAGAATTGCAAAAATATGAGAATATAATCACCACCTAGTTCAAAATCACAGCAAGAGCTATTTATTTGTATACCTAGAGCGCAAATTGTTGTTTTGTCGAACGCTACAGAAGGCACTTTGAACCCGCGATGCACATACAAGTTTTTCTACAGTCGTGAATGAACTTGTTGCTTTTTTTACATTTTTTAGATGTTTGTCGTTTCTAGAAATATATGTACTTAAATAGTATTTTTTTAGTTCTTTTTTCTGCCCCTTAAGTCAATGAAGCTTCTTTCAATTTATAATCAAAAATTTAAAAAAATCCCATGCATCATAGTTTTTCACGTAATAATACACGTGGAGTGTACAAATAAAAATATTTATAACTTATTTGTATTATCAGTTTAAATAGTAGGGACAGAGCTAATTTCTATTGCTAAAAATTGGCTAATATTTTGCACGGTTTTGGAGAAAATCGCTGACGATTATTAAACAAAAGTACAGAAAACATTTTTTGCGACGTTGCTATGGCCTTTTTTAAATTATTCAGGTCATTAATGTATAAATACTCTCCGAAACTACTGGACCGATTGTTGTCAAATTTTATGTCAAATTCATGTATATATTAATATCATGTAGATGGTAAAACACTTACTAAAATTTGGCTAATTATCCCCATAAACAACTTGATAATGTTTTTTTAAGTAAACATCATTTAATTTTTATAAAATAACATGCTCCTATAGTTGTGGTTTATGAATCCGCATTGATTTTTGACCCTAGACATTTCTGGTATAAATAAGCGGCACGTGATTCATTACCTGAATAACTTATGAGTCAGCGTCTCCGCCATGTAACCCTAAGGTCGGGCGTTCGAAGCGCACATAGGGAAGTGGCTTTCGACCAATTTTTGTTTGTATTTATTGGAAAAAATAACTATACGTACAGCGGTTTATCCCTTAGATTACGCATCACCATGAACCATTGATAAAAATTCTTAATCTCTTATCTAACTCATTCATTATTAAATATACAGGATGTACCGTTGAACGGCTACATACCGAAGGTGTATTATTTAAATGCAACACATCTATGATTTTACAAAATTTGGATGCTTTATGCAAAAAGAGGAAAAAAAATACATTAGACAGGTTTTTTAAGATATTTGGAATTTATTTGTGTGAAAAATTGTTCCATTTAAAATTTCTCAGCTCGAAACTAGAAACTTTGTACAAAATATTTTAGTAATCCTGCCTTGACATAAGTATATAAAAGCTTGAGTAAATTAGCAAATTCTCTACTGTTCTCAGATGGGATACCCTGTATTTTGATAACATGTTCCAACTTGTCTTTAAAGAAACTTAAGTTATTTTGTAATATTGTTGCGATAAATCCTAACAAATCTGGTACTAAAAGAAAATTTACCATAAAACCAGGGTTGAAAATATTATAATCATAAAATACGGGGTGTCCCATTTGAAAAGTATAGAAAAACCGGGAAAAACATGCATTCGATGAAGCGGCTTAAACAAGTTCAAACCCTGTTGAGTTTTATAGATATTTCAAGGGAAGGTAACCGAAAAAGTTTGATGCCAAATGAAAACCTACGATTTTTAAAAGTATCGGAGCTGTGAATTTGTAAAAATGAACACTTTTTAGTTTTTTTATGATGACCTCTATTATTAAAAACAAAACATATAACACAAGTCACCGTGTAAGAAAGCCATGCCATGAGGGATCAAACCCACGACGTTCCCGTTCCCGTTGTACTATTGCTATTCAATTCGACCCTCCGACCTCTGTAAGTACCACTTTGGATCGTCTGACCGTTTTCGAACCGTTTTTAAATTTCCGCCGCCGAGCGAAAAACCGTACCGCCTTCACCTTTTTTTTTTCTTCCCGGGTCGCCGTATCGTCCCCGCGCGATTTCTCGTTCTAGGGTCGTCGCCTCCAGAACCATGAGAATCCCGTCCCGAAGGAAGTCGCCGTCCAGGAGAGAACGACCGTGCGGGATATTTAATTCTTTTTGTTATTTTTTTGTGAACCCGGTTATTGTGAATTTTCCTCTGTGTTATTTTATTTCTTGTTTCCGCGGGCGTTCACCAGACCACTTAGTGATCCGTGTCTCCGGCTTCAGGGCAACCCCAGTGCTTTTTCCCCGGAGAGGGAGGTGGCGCCCGAGCACCGCCGCTCCCGACCGAAGGCGCCACCTCGTGTTTCTGTTCGGCGGACTAGTCGCCCTAAGGCTTGGCACCGAGGCACGCCACCCTCACGCGTTATTGGCGAAATTCCGGACTGTCACCCTTCGTCACCGTTCTTTTATGAAATTGAAATAGTATTTATTAAGAAAAATTTTAAAGGAAAGCATCAAATTGTTGGTGGTTATGTTCAAATAAATTTTGGTCTGCATTTTACCAAAATAGACACAGACGACGCACGACAAACGACTGACGATAGACATACAGACGAAAACGAATGACCTATTTGACAACAAAACGGTCCTGTATTTTCGAAGATTAACTGCCTAATAAAAATGGACACAACCAGACGACAAACAACAGACTTACTTTTTCGTATTCTGAGGGTCATGAAACATTGGAAAAACATTAAAGTAGCTGTTCGAGGGATGGGTCCTATTACAATACTTTCGCAGTTTACTAAAAATAAATATCTTGATGAAAAAATCCTTGGATACAATTTTTTTCATGCATTTTTTCAGTATCCAAATTTATAAACTTTGGTGTCTAACCTTTAAATGCAACATCCTGTTTGTTTGAAAATAATTTAAATTATGTTCTGAGTTCTGTCTCCATCGCTAGACCGTTGGAATATTTTGGGTAGGTATACCAAATTCAAATGTAAATGTTTAAAGAGTTTGTCACCTTGTGTTTTAGAACCCAAAACAACATCCACACTCAGAATAGATAGAGAGACACATTATGGAAGACACACAAATATACAAAGTGTTTATAAAATATGAGGCAAAAATTCACGGGGTTATTCCTTGGTTTACTTTAAGATTTTCTGTTACTGAATAATTTTCGGAAAAATGCTTTTTTTCCAAGATACGGGGCGATAAACGTAAAGTAAAACCACTCGATTCCGAGATTTAAATCCCTTGAATTTTCATTTAGCAGCCATTTGAAAACATTAGAGTACATTGTTCGTTGTTCCATTGGAAAATGAAGAAGATTGCAGAAATCGGACTGAAGGTGAGATGCTAGAAGAAGCAACTCTGGTAGTTTTGAAAAAGTAAAGCGAAGGTATGAAACTCTGAATGTTTGCCGCATGTTTAGTAAACACTCTGTGTACCCGACTTGATCTGACCTGACCTGACCTGACCTGAACTTTTTTTTATATGTATATGGGGAAACCCGCATGGGCACCAGGGACTTAGGTTCGATCATTCCTGGTAGTGCCAGGACTTTTACCGGCTGAAACCCCTTCCTCGACCACCTGTTCTTCAACTCCGCCGGGACCCCGTTAGCATTATTTCAGGAGGAGTGGTTGGTCGCCGGATTTTTCTTCTTATTTCTTTTCTTCAAAGACTTCAGGAGCGAGCCTGACTTTTCAATGTTCCTTATTCTGCTTCTCTTGCTTTCTCTTTGTTGGTCTCTTCTCTTTAGATATGTCCCAAAAATCCCGTGGCCGGTATTGCTTGCGTAACAGTCTACGTTTCCCCATTTTCGGGCTTCCTTGCATCTTTAATGGATACTTTGGTCCATCCGTTATATTGTGTCCACTGGTTTTCGCAAAACATGACACCATATGGGAGCCCCGAATAGCATTATGGACGATACCACCATTGTGATCACAGTCCTTTTTTTGTCACTGCAACCTCTTACATTCGGTAATATTCTTGACAGAGCTGCAATTGTTTTGTTTGCCTTTTCACAAGTTTTTTTCACATGGTCGGTCATCCGATAGTCTTTGTCAATTGTCACCCCCATATATTTTAGCGACTTACTATTAACTATTCTATCGCCATAAATGGAAATTTCTATATGACGAATTTTTCTTCATCACGACATTAATACTATTTGCCCATTTCTTTTGGTTTCTTGGCTATCTTTTCCACGCCATAACTTGTTTTATCTTCTAGAGACTCTTTGTTGGCTGCTGTTACCACCAAGACTAAATCGTCAGCATATGCTATGATCTTCACTCCATTTTCTGTAGGTATTCTTATGATCTGGTCATAGAATAGGTTCCACAGGGTAGGTACGAGGACCGAGCTCTGTGGAACTCTGTAAAATATTTGGGTCT